TAGGTGCATCTCTCCAATCTCATCTCCAGTATCCCATGGCTGTCTTTCCTGTCTGTGTCTCCTCTTCTCTTCTTCTTTTTTTTTTTTTTTAATTCATTCAGAAAGCAGATTTATTGGTGCTTAGTATGCCAGGCACTAAGTGTGCAAAATTTAAAGAAAACAAGAGGTTCCTACTTCTCAAAGTCAAGGATATGAAAGTTGCTGAATAAATACTTATTGGGGGATTAAGACCACGTTTGAGCATCAGATCAAAGTTCTGGAAAAATTAACTCCCCAGAAAAATGCACAAACACAGAATTTTGTACAATTTGGGAAAGGGGGAGCGGCTATGAACTCCTCTGAAGCCCAGTCACCACCAATCACCAGATCCACAGACTCCAGGTTAAAAATTCACTACCAACATAACTAAATTCTCTGGGAACAGGAATACTCGCTTAATAATTCTGACTATGCCTTGCACAGTGCGCTGTATACAAAAGCCACTTTAGAAATATTTGCTGGTCGATTTTCTCTTAAAGTCAACCAGATGACATCGACAAATCGTTCCTTCCCTGGACTTTCAAAAGCCCACCACCACCGCCCTTCACTCATGACACTAACGACTAACACCAACAACTCGAAATCATTCTTCCGCTATTCCCATGTGGACTACTCGACCATTCACCAATTTAGGTCTTCCCTCCTCCTTAGAGTCCCTCAACTCCCTCCAAATTCAGGGCTCACTCCGTTGCATCCCAAAAGCTAGGTCTACTGCCCACAGGGAGACGGAAAATAACTGATGCTCCACGTCGCACACACCCTCAAGACAGGAAACGTGGGATCCAGTGCTTGCCACAACTTCCAAACCCTTTCTTCACCACGTCCAAAGGTGAAGAGATTTACCTTAAATCCCAGGAAAGCGATGGCAACTGCTTTCACAGAGCCGGGACCAGTTACCAAGATGCTTCCCGACCGTCCTGTCACCATAGTGACTTCTAAAGAGCTACGAGCCCTCCCTCTTATCTCCTCTTCTCTTCTTATAAGGACACCAGTCATATCAGATGGGAGCCCACCCTAATGACCTCATCTCAACTTGATTTCATCTGCAAAGACCCTATTTCAAAAAAAAAAAAAATCACATTCATGGGAACTGGAGGTTAGGACTTCAAAATATCTTCTTGGGGGACAAATTGTAATCTATAACAAGTAGTAACCTCCTCCTACCAGGGCTAGTCCAATGCTAGTCCCTTAACCCTTTCACTCCTTGATAGATAGTCCCTTCATTAGAATCCTTCCAATTCCTTCTTAGAATGTGCCACCTGTTTCCTGCTGGGACCTTGATCCAGAGCCCTATGGCCTGACTACCTTGCTGGTAGAGCACTTACCAAGTGCCAGAAGGTACTAGGGATACAATGGTGAGGAAAACTAGCATAACCCCTGCCTTCATGGGCTTACAGTCTATAGTTTAACAGGCTTAATGACAATATCGCAAAGTTAAATTGCAGCTGGGATGAGATACAAAGCGTAAGTTCACAGTGCTGTGCACATGCTTAATTGGGGGAGTCAGTTGGCCAGATGTAACATGGACTCTATTATAGTATCTCCTGAACAAAACTGCTGTAAAAATTGAATGAAAAAAAGGTCAGAACTCAGTAAATGGTAGACGTGACTAAGCTGGGAAATGATCGGTGCTGACGAGAGACGTGCACGCAGGCGCAGTGGGAGTGCAGAGGTGAAAATGAGCTTGAGAACTGTTGCCTTGAGTAGCACTCCCCCCCTAAAGTATTCTTTACATAATCAATAGGTGTGGGAAGCTCCACCACCGTGGTTTTACTGTGATCTGTTATAAAAGATAGTGCTTTCCATTTGAGTGCATAGAATTTCAGCAAGAACAAGAAAAACATGGAAAGAGAAAGAAAAAAGAAAAAAACAAAAACAAAACAGTGCACCAGACCAGGGTTTCCCAAGACTCCTTGAGAACTGTAGACATTTGCCTCTGACTGCCAAGCTGCAGTGGTGGGAGAGAGCCTGGCTTATCATCTTATGAAATTTAATTAGTTACAAACACATTTGTTCTCAGCCCAAATAGGAAGCTAGTGTGCATCCCGGCTTAGTATGTAGTGGGTGACAGTTTGATGATTTGAGCCTGCAGATGAGAGTCCAAGGCTGGGGCCAAGACTGTGAGTTCTGGTCCGGGTTTCCCCGGGGCCGGGCAAGTCGGGTCCATCTTCCCCTCTCAGCTCCTTCTTCACTCGCTGGGGTTCTGGCGAAAGTGCGGGGAACTGGGAGCTTTCTCAGCTACAGCACCAATCGACACATGCTCAGTGGGCACCTACAGGGCACCCAGGCACATGCTAGATTCTCTGGGCAATCCTTGCAGGTTTAAACAAGAAGTACACTGCACAGTAAAGGCAATAAAATGAAAAGGCCACCTACAGAACGGGAGAAAAGTTTTGCAAATCATATCTGAAAGGAATTAATATCCAAAATATAGGAAGAACTCATATGACCCAATAGCAAAAATACAAACAATCTGGTTTAAAGAATGGGCAGAGAAGCTGAATAGACTTTTTCCGAGGAAGATGTACCCATGGCCAACAGGTACATGAAAAGACGTCCAACATCAGTCATCATCAGGGAAATGCAAATCAAAGCCACATGAGGTATCACCTCACATCTGTTGGAATGACTATCATCAAAATGACAAGAGGTAAGTGTTGGCAAGAATGAGGAGAAAGGGAACCCTTGGGCACTGCTGGGTTCTGCATCCACTATGGAAAACAGTATGGAGGTCCTTTGAAAAATTAAAAATAGAACTATCATATGATTCAGCAATTCCACTTCTGGGTATACTGTATATTCAAAGGAATCAAAATCACTGTGCTGAAGAGACACCTACACCCCCATGTTTATTGCAGCATTATTTATAATAGCCAATATAAGGAAGCAACCTAAGTGTCTAGCAATATATACACACATATACACATACACTGGAGTTTTATTTAGTCATAAAAAAGAAGGAAATTTTGCATTAATAACAACTGGAAAGAACTTGGAGGACATTATGCTAAGTGAAATAAGTGAGAAGAGAAAGACAAACACTGTATGGCCTCACTTACATGTAGAACCCATAAAACAACAAACTCATAAAAACAGAGAACAGATAGGTGGTTGCAGGGGCAGGAGATGGGGGAAATGGGTAAAGGTGGTCAAAGGATACAAACTTGCAGTTATAAGAGTAATAACTTCTGTGGGTGTAATGCACAGCACGGTGACTATAGGTAATGATACTGCATCGTATATTTGAAAGTTGCTAAGAGAGTAGAACTTAAAAGTTCTCATTACAAGAAAAAAATTCGTGCACTGGTAGGGTCCCTTGGCCTGGCCTGCAGGGATCAGGGTGAAACAGGCTCTCCAACATCCCCTGAGGTGTCCTGGATTGCAGGAGGGCTCAGGCCAGGCTGAGGGATCCCACCGGTGCACGAATCTGTGCACTGGGCCTCTAGTTATTAATATTACTGAGATCAATGGTTTTCAAATTTTATAGTCACCTTAAAAAAATTTTTTTTATTGATTTCAGAAAGGGAGAGAGAGACAGAAACATCAGTGATGAGAGAGAATCATTGATCGGCTGCCTTCTGCACGCCCCCCAGTGGGGATCAAGCCCGAAACCTGGGCATGTGCCCTGACTGGGAACCAAACCATAACCTCCTGGTTCATAGGTCAACGCTTAACCACTGAGCCATGCCGGCCAGGCTAGTCACTTTTTTTTTCAAGCAACCTCTTGTACCAGATAAAAGGGGAGTGGCCTAGTCACGCTGGGCAGCACCTCCACAGGCCGGAAACCCCCAAGGTTCACCATCTTCAAGCTGTAACATCCCACATCTGTGATTTCAGACAGGGTGAGGGAGTAGACAAAACCAAGGTGTCTATGGCGGTGCTTTGATAGTGAACATGGATCTTAAATGTTGCTACCACAAAAAGAAATGACAATCCTGTGGTGTGACAGGTGTTAGCTAACACTACACTGACGAGCACATTGCAAATACATACACGTATCAAAAAACACTTTGCACACCTTAAACTTGCACCCTGCTATAGGTCAATCATATCTCAATACAAAATAATTAATTTGATGATTAATGAAATGCCCAAAAAAATTATCATGGAAAAACACTACCATTTTGCTTGGGAGAATCAAAGTGGTTTGGTCCTAGGTCTATACACAGCCCAGAGAGCAGGTGTCATGAATGCGAAGGGAGAAAGGGGTCACCCATGGGCCCCTGGACCATTACCTGCACATACAACACCTATGCACGACCGGCACCTCTCCATTCTGCTCCTCGAAACCTGCCAACTCCCATCCCCAGAGACTGTGCGGGAGGCTCTAGCTCTGGCTGAAGGCGCCAACATCTCCAGGTCTAGCTCCAGGGAAGGACAAGACACTCAGCTCAGTCCAGTGATGGCGAACCTATGACACGCGAACTCATTTTTTTGGTTGATTTTTCTTTGTTAAATGGCATTTAAATATATAAAATAAATATCAAAAATATAAGTTTTTGTTTTACTATGGTTGCAAATATCAAAAAATTTCTGTATGTGACATGGCACCAGAGTTAAGTTAGGGTTTTTCAAAATGCTGACACGCCGAGCTCAAAAGGTTCGCCATCACTGGCTCAGACGCTACAATGACTTTGCTGTCCTCAGGCAACTCTGGGCTCCGCAGCCCAGCTCAGCCCAGCATCTGGGAGAAGCCTCCCGGCTCCCACTGCAGCCCTCGCCCGGCTCTGGTATGTGTGCGGACAGGGACAGCAGCCAGCTCTTCGCCGGGCTCTCTAACAAGTTCCACGAGTCTGTTTGTTAAAGAAAAATTCCAGTGGGTGCATCCAACACATGGAACTCAAGTACAGATTTATATTTATCCAGCCCACTGCCAAGGAGATCACATGCCCCGTGAGTCACTCCAGATGTGCTCAAAAACAGAGTCTCTCTGTGGCCGCCCAGTCCCCCAATCCCAGAGAGAGTCGGATAGACAGGTCCCCGCCCGTGCCCCCAGGAGGCAGCCTCTGCCTCCACCTTCCGAGGCGGGAGAGGGCATTGCTCTTTGGAAAAGGGAAAGGTGGGAAGAACTGTACCGTCTCCCAGGAGGACCGGGACGGGCACACCTGTAGCTCCTGGGGTCCCACTGGGGTTGAGGCGACTCCTCACCTGCGTGGAGGAGAAGATGTGTTGGAAGACGCTGCTGCTGCTGCTGCTGTGTTACGATGCTCAGGCCACTGTGGCCCACAGGTGGAGCAGGGGTGAGTTGCTTTTCATCATCTGTCTGATGCTCATCGTTCTTTTTTAAATACAACTAGGAATTGGGGGGGATTAGAAACCCCATTTCCTCCTTTAATCTCATCTCTGGGGATTGCTTTATGCTTCTTGACAAGTTAGCAGGTGTTAGGAGGTGACAGGGGACAGGACACTGGAGGAAATCAAAGCGCTGAGGGGCTTGGTCAAGGTGGGAACGCAGAAGGCATCCCTCTCAACACGCCAGGGCAAGTCACCTTTGCTGCATGGAATGTGCACAGACCCCCTCAAGCTCCTCCCCGCCCTCCCCCAGGCTGCTGCCCTGGGCAGGCGTGCGGAGAGCAGGTGTCCAGGTGTGACATGCTAACACCTGGGAGTATGGGTGACAGATGCTACCTGGAGAGCCTGGCTGGAAGTGGACACATCTCCGCAGCCAGGCAGAGCAGGCCAGCGGCAGGAGAGGAAGGGAAAGTCTTCAGCATCCTTGCGTCTACCTGCCTGCTGCCGCCACCGGCCCCCAGCCCTTCTCAGATGTAGTCCCTCAGAGCCGCGTGCCATCTTTTCTCTATGCCCAGGACCAGCTCCAGGTGGCAGACAGACAGCACTCCCAGCCAGTGGGAGTTTATCACTGTCAGGAAGTGAGGGGCCAAGAGCGTGGACCACTCATGCCGATCTGAAATCTGCCCGCCCACCCCCTAAAGTCAACTAAGGTCTCTCTCCTGGAAAGAACTGGGAAGAGTCAGGCTCATAGGTGTTTCAAGAGATCCTAACGGGGCTGAAGACTGGCATCGGGGGTCAGGATGAGCCTCCAGGTCCCAAGGAGAGTGTCAGGGAGGAAGGCCCGGCCCAGTGGGGACAGAGGGCACAGAGCAGATGGACCTGGAATGGAGGGGGGTGGGCACTGCACTTATTTGAGGCTTTATTCCCTCGTTTTTACGCCTGAGATTAGGGACTTGCCAGTTCTCTGAACTGAGCTGTGAAATGAGTGTTGCCTTGGGGCAAATAATAATGTAACATTTTCCTTTATTTCCGGTAAGACCACTACACACACACACACACACACACCACCCTGCTCATCATGTGCACAAACTTTGGGGCAACAGTTAGAAGCAGAGAGACATTGGAGTGATGTCCGGCCGCTCACCCTGTGTGACACTGGGGTCTTCCTAATTAGCCCATAAAAAAGATGGTAAAATCCACTCTAGGCTGTTAGAAAGCCCGATGAGATGATTTGATTTGTAACAGGCTTATGAACACGATAACCACATCATGAGCTGCCCCACAAGGAACTCACAGGTTTGGGCTCTTCCTCAAATGGGGCTGTGTGATCTCTGGCAAGTCTCTTAACCTCTCTGAGCTTTCGTTCACTAACAGATACCAGATTAACAAAACCAAAACTTACCTTCACTGTGTTGTTGTGAGACTCAGATTAAAAATGTAAATAAAATGCTTTGTAAACGACGAAGCACTATATAAATGTTAGCCACTTAAAAATGAAATAATTCCATTAAAAAAAAAAAAGCTTGAGATTCTCAACAGACAGTTTTATAGCAACATCCTGGGAGCAACTGCTCCGGCCCCACCCAGTCCGCACTGGGGAGGGGCTGCCCCAACAACAAACAACCAGGAAGCAGGGGCAGCGACCTAGAGGCAGAGGCGGTGAGGCAGCTGATGCTAAGCACCAGATTAGTGGTCCACGTCAGTGCGCAGTCAACAAACGATACGATAGGGAGCCCTCCGGCCCTCATCAAAGCCTTCCACATAGTGGGTCTTTCTTCGCTTTTAACATTTTTTCCTACTTATAAAAGGAATACACAATTGCCACCAGTTTTAAAAAGACGCAGTGGGAGTCACACCCAAATGTAAACAATTTTTCCAAATGTACTTACTGTTCCTTTCACCTTCACCCTTACCCCATCTCACCCCAAACCTAGGCCTAATTCCCTTTGGAAACAGCTCAGGGTGACCACCCCTATAACATCCTCCTCCTCCAATAACCCGCCCCAACCCTCCCCTCCCCCACTCCTCACCACCGCCCGGCCTATGCCCTCCCCCCACTCCCACCCCCCCCCACCCCACCCAAGGGGAGAAATGTAGCGATAAACCCAAAGGGAACACACCCTGTTGTCAGGACATCCCTTTTCCTACCGGTCTTTCTCCCCAAGAAGCGCTCTCTAGGATTCGGCCCTGGGAGGGAGCTTTCCACGCACCAGGCCGCTGTTCCAGCACCACCACCTGGATTAAGACCAAGTGACTCACCTGTGCTCAGCGCGGCCAGCCGCGAACTGGACACACCTGGCCCCCGTCCCAGCAGCCCCAGCTCCTGCCCGAGCAACCTCGGGGGCTGGAGACCACGAGCCAGTCTTTGAAAAAAAGGAATCTATGCATTAACTACCATGTAAATATCTGTTTTTTATTAAATACATATAAATTATTTCTTTAAAAAAATTTTTTTATTGATTTCAGAGAGGAAGGGAGAGGGAGAGAGAGATAGAAACACCAAAAATGAGAGAATCATTGATCGGCTGCCTCCTGCACGCCGCCCCGCTGGGGATCAAGCCCCAAACCCAGGCCTGTGCCCTGACCTGGAATCCACCCGTGCCCTCCTGGTTCATCGGTGGACGCTCAACCTCTGAGCCACACGCATCGGGCGAATTATTTCTTTTTAAAGCAGCGTCACAGGGAGGGAAGGGCAGCCCCCGGGTGCGTGGCGGGATCTGTCATTCTCGGTGTCCGTGTTCGTGCTGTGTGAGTCGCATGGGGAGGGAAGCCCGGGGCCTGAGGTCCTGCCTAGGAAGTGCTGGCGGCCTAGGGGGCGCATTAGAGGACACCCCGCTTACCGCCCAGGCACCCCGGGAGCAGGCGCTGTGCTGACCTCGGGCAGGTGAGGACACTGAGTGAGACAGGACGTGCCCAGATCACTCCGCAGCAAGGACCGCGCTGATCCTGACGCCCCACCCCTCTGGCCTCAGGGTCCGGCTGTCACTCACCCCTCTCCATCCCCTCAGCAGCCCCGAGGCCCCCCGGGAGGGGGCGGGGGCGGGGACCGTCTGGCGGCGAGGAGCAGCACACAGAAGCCCTTGCAGAAGCGCTCCCGCTGCACCCGGCGCCGGCCCAGCGCCTGGCTCGCTCCGAAGATGGCTGTGTTTCTAAAGGGCTGGCCCGGGAGCAAAAAGTAAATGACATCAGGAGGATCTGGCACAAGATCTTTTATAAACCAGAGCTTTTCCTTTCCACACCCACCGCCTTTTCCATGCGGCTGCCACTGATTCATTAACAATGTGGCTGTGTTTGGCGGGAAGTGGTCTGCAGTTGGAATCCCTTCCAACAAGCGCGCACAAGCTCGGGGTGCGGCTCCGTGGAACCCGCGGGCGCCTGGATGCGGCTCTGGTACCCTGAACCTCTGGGGGTGGGAGGAAGAGGCGGGTTTTAGCCCAGATTATAAAAAGCCAAAGGGAAGGCCGGGCTCCAGGTCAAAACGGCTCCTTCCTTTAGGGAAGCTTCGCCCATGTGTCTGAGCAAGAGGGCTTGGAGGGCTAAGGCGTGGGGACGCGCCCGCCTTGCCTGGGACCATGGAAAGCAGCTCCTCCCCGGCCAGAGCAGGGGCTCCTGGGAGACAAAGGCAGGACACGGGCTTCAGGGGACGACATCTGCTCTCTGATAATTAGCCAGGACCTGGAACTGCGCATAAGTTCTAAAATCACGCTGTTAGGAGGAGAGAGACTTAGTGAAGCACTCGGTGTGAAAGAATGGAGTTTAGGGGCGAAGATCGTGCATGTGTTTCTACGGGATCATTTATTCATTCAACAAACAGTCATGGGCAGGATGCTAGGCACTGGGAAGACAGTGACCCAAAGGAACACACCCCGTGGCTTGACAGAGCTGACATTCTAGTGACAGGAAGCAGACACATATAGAAATAAAACATCCGTTTGTCAGATGGCAATAACGTAGGGGCAGGTTAGAGGGTATCCAGGATTATAATTTTAAATCAGGTCGTCAGGGAGGGCTCCCTGAGGCGGTGACTGAAGACCTGAAGGAAACGTGGGTGTTCCAGGCAGAAGGAACAGAAGTGCAAAGGCCGGTGGCAGAAGCCTGCCTGGGGGGCTCAAGGAGCAGTGAGAAGGCCTGTGGCGGGGAGAGTAGCAGATGAGCTCAGACGTAGTGAGAAGCCACATCATGTAACACAGGTGGCATTTGAAGAACTTTGGGAAGCCAGCGAGGGTTCTGGGCAGAGGAGTGACATCTGACCTATGCTTGCACAGAACCACTTTAGGTGCTGCGTTAAGAACAGAATGAGGGCGGGAGCCGAGGATGGAAGCAGAGGCACCAGTAGGAGAAGTGCTCAAGGCTTGGACCGGGGAGCTAGCAAGGATGTGGCAAGAAGTAGCCAGATTCCAGATCTATTTTGAAGGTAGAGCCAAGACTCGCTGATAAGTTAGATTCGAAATGTGAAAGAAAAAGTCAAGGACGGCTCTCAGGTGTTGGGCCCGAGCAACTGAGAGAGATGGAAAGACGGCAGAGAAGTAGGAGATCCGTGGGTGTATGCATGTGCGTGTGCATGTGTGTGTGTGTGTGTGTGTGTGTGTGTGTGTTGGGGGCTAGGATTGGCCTGGGAATCAGGAGAGAGAACTGTAACATGTCCAAAAGGAGATTCCTGTAGGCAGCTGCATATATAAAAGTCTGGCCTGGAAATAATAAGCTGGAAGTCAGTAGGGAAGTGAGGGTGGCTAGACGAGGAGACGCCCCAATGAGGCCAGAACTCTGCAATCTGAGAGGAGGGTGGGGAGGAAGAGCAGACAGCGAGGCAGGATTTTTTTTTAATCGAAGAAGTAACACGTTTTCATGTTGACGTGAAAGACCCAGTGGAGAGGGAAAGGGAACCATGTAGGAGAGGAGGGTGGAGAGGTGAGCAACAGTTTTCTTGGAGACGCTCGTGGGAAAGTTGGCTCTAGACAGGAGGGTGCCCACAGTCACAGAAGAGAAGTCGGTATCTGGGCAAGAGGCA